TACTGTCTCAAATGAACCCACACAAAAACATCAGTCATGTGAATTCACAGAAGAATCCATACAAATATAGTAGTCATGTGAAGTGAGGGCGCTGTCACAAAAGAACCCATACAAATACAGTAGTCATGTGAAGTGAGGGCACTGTCTCAAATGAATCCACACAAAAACATTAGTCATGTGAATTCACAGAAGAATCCATACAAATATAGTAGTCATGTGAAGTGAGGGCGCTGTCACTAAATAATCCATAGATCACTTTCCCGGAAGATTGGGGTGCAGAAATATGCCTGTCAATTGGTACACCCAAAAGCACAATATCACACATGCAAGTTCACGTTACACACCAAAACTATATGCGCGCATGCGAAACGTATCTTTGACTTCCGGGGAAGTAGTCCATACAAATTTAGTGATCATATGAAGTTTGGGCACTGTCACAAATGAATCCATACAAATACAGTAGTCATGTGAAGTGAGGGCACTGTCACTTAACAACCCATACAAATACAGTAGTCATGTATTGTGAGGGCACTGTCACTTAACAACCCATACAAATACAGTAGTCATGTATTGTGAGGGCGCTGTCACGGTCACTGATCAATCCATACAAATACAGTAGTCATGTGAAGTGAGGGCGCTGTCATACAGACACAATGCAGATGAAGAATACATCCAGCGATAATGTAGAAAAGTAACTAAATAATTGAAAATTCACTCGAAAAATTGAAAAGTGATAACAGATTTACATAGTGATATTGCTTAATTTGAATACACAAAGACAACTGCCCTAAAACAGAGAACGCATACATAGTCTAAGGAGTCATTTTATTTATGTATTTAAGCAAGAATAGGTAAATGGGTTTAGATTGCATCTTTTTCAAATAAACAAATATTCACTGTCCTAAATCTGTTATCCTGTCATTGTTATTTAATCTAATTATCAAAATAACTAAACCAAGCGAATTCCATTCCTGCACAATACCAGTGTAACAAACAGTACTACACATTTACTGTTGCTACATGAATTTGACTTTCAAAACCTGAGATGATTGGTATACCCAGGCAAAACCAATGCTAGTCACAATAGCAATACTAATAAAAGGTTGTATAACAACCCAATAATACGCATAATAGGTGGTATAGCAACCCATAATAGATACTATAACAACCCAATAATACCCATAATAGGTGCTATAGAAACCCAATAATATCCATAATAGGTGGTATAGCAACCAAGTAATACCCATAATAGGTGGTATAGCAACCCAATAATACCCATAATAGGTGGTATAGCAACCCAATAATACGCATAATTGGTGGTATAGCAACCCAATAATACCCATAATAGGTGGTATAGCAACCCAATAATACGCATAATTGGTGGTATAGCAACCCAATAATATCCATAATAGGTTGTATAGCAACCCAATAATATCCATAATAGGTTGTATAGCAACCCAATAATATCCATAATAGGTGCTATAGCAACCCAATAATACCCATAATAGGTGGTATAGCAACCCAATAATACCCATAATAGGTGGTATAGCAACCCAATAATACCCATAATTGGTGGTATAGCAACCCAATAATATCCATAATAGGTGGTATAGCAACCAAGTAATACCCATAATAGGTGGTATAGCAACCAAGTAATACCCATAATAGGTGGTATAGCAACCCAATAA